TTTTTTTGAAATTTTTCTTGCGATTTTTTTTTTCGTCTTAGGGGAACCTTACACCTGTTTTTATCTAGTTTCTATTAAGTACCATTTATTAACTAGAACGATTTTATTCCAAATTGCTACTTTTTCTGGATTTTGCACAAAAATAAGCTAATTTTATAAGCTCTCATTTAGTATAAATAAATAAAATTGAATCAAATCGGTTGTAAAAAGAAGGCTTCCAATGAATTATGAACATTAAATTCCAGTTTTGAACCATTGCACATTGGTCTTATTTCTTAGAGGCTACATGAAAGGTACGGTCTATGAACGAATCAAATGCATAAATTATATACCGCCCGAATTATGCCAAAAATTCATGGAAAATTTTCGGTCGTGGTAGATTTTTAACTGAACGAAATATAAAAAAAAACATATTTTCTACAATTTTGTTGTGTTTTATTTATTAAAAAAAATCTGCAGTCTTATTGACTCACCCTGCACTATTTTTCTGTTTGTATGCTAGGCTTTTGTGACAGGTTTGGCAACGCCATTTTGGCATAAGTATATATAAAAAAAAAACAATAATTCAACGGATAGCAAAATAATATGTGTATTGTGCTATCCGTACGTATATATGTGCACAGCTATACATATATGTAAATATATCCATAAATATCGCGCGTTATTCGAAGTCACTAAAACTTATTGAAATTCAAAGCAGCTCTTTTGCAAAAAGCACAGCTTCAGTTTCTATACATATATTTCTTTTGATTAAAAACAATTTTAGCTTTATCTTCTTTCTGTTCTGTGTTCTGCTTTTGTTTTGCGTTGAAAAGTAAAAATTAACAAAGTAAAAAAACTTAAAGAATTACAGCAAAATACAAAAAAAAATTCGGTGCGTTTTTTTCTTCTTAAGCTTGTTTCTGTGCCTTTGATTATTTCTGGTGATTTCGAAATATGTACATTAGACCGTACCGGAAAAAAAGTTCACCGTACACCCCTGAGTCTAAAGTATTTTTCAGGGTGATTTCTAATTTTTAGTTTTTTTTGGCCGAATATGGTGATCGATTTTTGTATTTGTAATCATATCTTTGGCATCGTCAGCCGGATCTTCAAGTATGTTATCTCGACGTTCTTGTCTCGAAGAGGCATTTTTTTTAGTTTGTACGCCGTTCTAGCACTTAGCCACCATATATCAGATCTTACCACTCTATCGTATTACCGTAAATTAATGCGAGCCAAAAATCAGTAAACTTTTGCTAAGTATTTCTATTCGAAGGTAATTTGGATGTTTTTTTTTTGGCCGAACATATGATTCGCCCTAATGTAAGAAACATTTTTCGTCATACCTTCAGCATTTGCAGTCGGATCTTAAAGTATGATATATCGATGTTCTTGTCTTGACAATTTTTTATTGTTCCAAAGTTCATTGAACTCAAGTAGCCCGCCGTAGTACTTACCTACCAGGTACCAGTTCTTACCACCCTAACGTGTCAGCCTAATCTCAGTTAATCAAAACTCTCAAAAAATCATTAAACTTTTGCTAAGGAAGTATTTTAATTTTTCCAGTAGCACTACTTATAGTATTTAAAAAAAATATAAAATGTATCGCTGAATGTAGGGTAAAGCAAAAATTTAAAAACCGTCCCCAGGTTCGGCCGAAATTTTTTTTCAAAATTGCTTTCCAAAAATATATAAAGACTCAGAGATGTATGGTTAACTTTTTTTGCTTGTAAAGTGGTACAGTCTAATGTACATACAAATGTATCCGCAAAAAACAAACTCAAAATAAAATCAATGTCCACAAAACAAACTATTCATTAACGTATGACAGTGGCAGTCGTTGTCGGCATGCTGCTGGCACGCTTAGCTGAAATTTCATGCAGACTTCGAGTTCTGCAGAAATATTTTTATTCAAGTTTCAAGTTTTTCTGGGTCACGTAGTGGATATTAGCTAAAAATATGTTGGGGAAATAAGCTATGTGAGAATATGTATGTATTTGCAAGCTTGTCGGAAGTAGAAAAGCTGATGCAAAAAAAATTAAATATATTGATTAACTAATGTTTAGGAGCAAAACTGCTGTATTTTTCCAAACATTCTTATGCAGTTCTAGCCCTAATAATTAATCGTAGCAGTCTGTAAAGAAAGACATTTCGCTTCATAGGAAAGTTTTCTATCCGGTACGTAACCGACTGTTACTCATACTACGTATGTATGTATGTATAAGCAACGAGCAAGCAAATAAATGTCTAAAATATTTAGATAAGAAGATAAAATTTTCAAGAGAATTCTAAAATCGCAGTTTATGCAAAATGTTTTTTAAACAATTAAACTTGTTTTTTACTGTTTTTATTACCGCTTGTTTGAAAACAAGTTTTGCCTCATTTTTTATTCGTAAACGGTTTGGGGAGTGTATTTTATTATTAAAGAATTTAATTGTATAAATAGTCAAGTACTTATATGAGAGAAATGATAATCAAAGCTTATGAAATATAAATTAAAAGATTTCGCATACAATGCAGTGTTAAGCGAGTTAAGCCAAAAGGCGTTCCTTATAAACATGAAATTTCTTAACGAAATTAACTGTAAAAAATAACCTCATAATGGCCATGGAGAGTTCATTTAATGGACGCAGATCTAAAATATCTGGCAGCTGTAGCTGTTGAATGAAAAAATTATATTCAGTATAAATAATAACAATAACAGATCAAGCAGCAAGCTGTCGTAACGTGCGATTGGATGGATAAGCTAAGGTTGAATGGACAACGCTGATTAGAATAGTTCACCCGGTAGGCGAACAGCGCCATTGTGATAGCCAAGGCTATTTTTTTTTGAGTTTTGAGTTGTGTCGTTATTGAAGAGATGTGCATGGGCCTGGGTTTGGCAGGCATGTTTTAACTCTGAAATCAAATCATCCTTAGTACTTGAGAGAACTATGGACTTAACTCCCTTGACAGGTACAATGAGTTCGAGATATAAGGGGTATCAGAAAAAAAGAAAAGAGGGAAACGATATAGCGCACAGTCTTGCAAGAGCATCAGCTACTAATACCCCAATCGACCTCGAATGACTCTGTGTCCAAAACTACATACTAAGAAAGGAAACATAGTTGGCGAAGCTCTTTGCTGCTGCGTAGGCAATAGGTTTTCTTGGATGAAGGGGGCTTGCTTCATGGAGAGATTTCAGCTTATAATAATTAGTTTTTTTTTTTAGTTTTTAGATTTAAATGTTTTGAAAAGAAAAGTGTAGATATTTTTTAATTTCATTAAACTTTTAGAAAGTTTTTTATGTACTGTGTTTTTTTTGATAATTTTTTTTCTTTCTTAAGTTAATTTTAAAATTTTTTAATTCAATTTAGTTTTTAGGAACTTTTTCTTTAAATAAAATTTTACTTGAATTGTTAGATTTTATTGTTTACAAAAGAATTTTTTTTTTTAATTTCATTTAATTTTTTGAAACCTATTTTATTCATTTTTTCTTTTTTACTTATTTTGTTTTTCTTTTGTTAATTTCGTTTTCTTTAAATCTTAATATTTTATTGCTTCAAAGAGAAAAATAAATTTTTTATTCAATTTAATTTTTAGGATGTTAATTTTTTTTTGTGTTTTTTATTTAATTGTCCTATTTTGTTCCATAAATAAAAATAAAAATATTTTTTTTTTAAATTTATTTAACTTGTAAGTACTATTTTCTTCTTTTTTGAATTATTATTTTTTTCTCTTAACAATTTTATTTTTTTGAGGGGAACAAAATCTTTTATTTCTATTTAATTTCATTTTGTAAAATATTAGTGCTCGTAATCTTCACTTAATTCATAAAACTATAACTATATATAATGTTTTATCTATCTACCTTACGCTTCCACTTCTTCAAGAGCTAAGAGTTATTTCAAAGAAATCCACTACCGTCACACAGCCGTTAGTTTTCAATTGGCATGTCTTGTTTATTAGAATTGTGGTAACTGCGGTAGTAGCCTTGAAGAATTTGTACCCAAAAATTTAGAATGTTGCTTCCTAGCCAATGGCAAAGTGGCTACACTTACAAATGTACATAGATACGTTGTGCAACCAGTTCAGTGTACGCAACGACGACGATTGCACAACGCATAGAATACTGCGATTTTTTTTCTAATATAGATATTTGTGTAATTTTTAAATGCAAAAAGGTAAAAAAAAGTTTCCATAGAAACGAGTTTAATCAACGAGCCGTTCGCCATAAGAACATTGTTTTTGTCTTTCCTGTCTTCGATTTGTTTATTATGTACATACATATGTAGACGATCCTGAAGTGCAAACGCAGCTTAGAAAAGAACTTGTTCGCGCACACGAACTTCCGATCTTGCGAGAGTGGCTGATATACTCGCACTAATAAATACATACCTTTATATGTACATATGTACATATGTATTCGTAGAGATATATACTAGGCTATGTATACTGAGTGAACTGTAAATAAACCTTCAAAACCGCAGCATGAAAATTTAAGTGGTTAAGTCAACATTGACAACAAAAACGGCAACAAGAGCAACAAGAGCAAAACAACAACAAATAAGCGCAAAAGCAACGCAAAGCCAAACAAATTGATCATATGACAACGTGGGCATATATTTGTATGAATGTAATTAACTTGGCCGAATAGCATGGCTTACAATGGGCAAATGAAAAAACGAAACTGAAAAGTTTTCCACACAAGAATTGGCGAAAAGTGAAAAAATGGGTAAAATCAAAACAATTTCGAAGAAGTAAACAAGAAACGAAAAAAAAAAACCAAGCAATGTCTCCTGTTGCTCCGCTTGACTGGAAAAACTGCCGATGCGGCGAGAAAACTCAACCCGTCGAGTGAGCGCGCGAATTTTCCAGCAAAAGCATGAACAGGCAACGATAAATTGGCAAAAAGCAAAGCAGAGGAAATATTTAGTTAAAAACACAAAATGCAATCAATAAGCAGAAATAAAAGAAACAAATTAATAATAACAAATCAAAAGGAGGAGTGGAAGAGAAAAAAGCTTGAGAAAACTTACCGAACAACGTATGGATGACAGTCGGCGGCCAGGCGAAACAGCAATGTGGCTTTTGTTGTGTTTGTTGTTGGTTTTTGTGGTATGTTTGACGTTGCAATGACGACAAATACGACTAAAAAATAACAATAACAGCGAAAAGTTGTAGTTGTGCGTAAAAAAAGTTGCAGATAAATGCGTATTTCCGCTTTCCAGTTGTTATTTAATGCGATTTTATTTTCTTACAGTTTTATGTTTTTTTTTCGTTTTGTATTTGAAATGAAAAAAAAATTGGTTTGAATATCGTCGGCGAAATATTTGAAGTCACACGGTTTTTATAAAAGATTTTCGATAAAGATTTTAACAAATAATTTTTTTTTTTGATATTTTCTTACTAGATATAAATTTGAGCAACGTAAAAAAAAATAAAAAAAAATATTTATGCACATTTAATTTTTAGTTAAATATTTAAAAAAAAAAAATGCTACAAAAATTGTATATAACTTTAAAGGAATTTAATTATGGCATGATCGTTTAGTACAACTGTTTAAATTTTCTTATTATATTTTTTGAATAAATTTTTTATATTGTAAAATTGATAAATATTTTTTCTATATTACTTCGGAGTTTAAACATATAACATTAGTGTTTTATGCTCTATTAAAATTATTTTTACGAAAAACTTTCTTGTTTTTGTTTTTCAATTTCAAAATTAAAGCAATACTTTCGTACTTTAATTTTCCACAATAAATTTTCATTAAAAAACGGCCTCGTGCTCAATAAAAATTGTTGAATATAATTGTTATAAGGCCAAAAAAAATAAAAAAAAACTTTAATTTTTAGTCATATTTTTTTTTAGTAAAGAAACAATAAAAAAGTTAAACATAAAAAGTTCAGTTAAATTTTAGTACAAAGAAATTTATAAAATTTTCAAAAACAAAAGTTACTGCCGGCTTATTAAGTGAATAATGATTTTCCGTTCCGTCAGTTTTATTATTACATAAAAAAATGTATTTTAGCCTTAAATTGCTTTCGTGAAACTGGTTATTACTTTTATATTATTACAGAAAAAACTTATAATAATTTTGAAAATAGAATTAACTTTTACATATATAGAATTTCAAAACTGAAAGTATAATCAAGCACTAAACTTTAAGAAAACCAATACTTAAAAGATTATAATAAAAACTGGTATGTATTAAAGTTTTGGGAAAAAATTGGCGATATTTTTTTTTTAATTGTTGGAAATAAAAATAGAAGATTAAAAAATACTAATAATTTAAATTAAATTCCAAATAAATTTTTTTCATAAAAAGAATTAGGTACAAATTAATTCTTAAATGATATAAATTTTTTAATTCAGTAAAATTACCTTCTTTGGTTCGAAATTAAAAACAGCAAAGTTTCGTATTAAAATTATCAGAAAAATTTTAGCCAAGTTAATAAGAGGTCAATGTAAAACCTTTTAGTTAAATTTAAGGAAACAAACATCTATAAAATTAAAAATAAAACTCTTGTTTAATTTTTTCCAAATTTTGTCCTTAGCTTTTTGCAAATAAAAGTAGTAAATTAAAAATATTTTAAATTTCAAAAAGCTAATTTTTTAAAATAAATATTTATCAACTTTCTAGCAAAAACAATGTTTTTTAATTTGGTAGGCATTTAAAATATGAAGCAAAATTTGTGCGTTAGAATTTTTGAACAAAGTTAAAAAAAAAAATTTCGCGAAAAATTAAAAAATATAATAAAAGCCTTTCAGTTCAATTTAAAAAAGGAACTTCAGAGTTAAAAAAATATTTTTGCATTAAAATAAAATTTTTTTACTATTGTTTTTCTAATAACTTTTTGATTAAGTTAATTTATTTTAAATTTAAAGAAAATTTGTTACTACACTGTTTGTTTTTACTGAAATCAAAAAAGAAATTAAATTAGCAACATTAAAAATGGTCAACAAACACAAAATTATTTTGAACTCATTGATTATTTTTTTTTTAACTTTTATTTAAAAATTACCGTTAGCTGACTATTTCGTGCGGTTTTGATTTTAGATTTTAGAAAAAAAAATTCAAACTTGAGGTACGAGCAAAAATTAAATTTTACTTAAAATATTTAAAAATCGAACTTAAATTTGAAATAATTAAAAATCTAATACATATTTAATCAGAAGTTAAAAGTATGATTTTTCAAAAACATGAAGTAACTTTTTTGTGAATTTTCGATAAAAGTTATAAAACATGACAACTTTAAATATTAAAGAATTTATATATAAAAAATTAAGAAAACGAACAAATTAAAAAAAAATACGATATTGAAATGAGATATATGATATAAATGTTATTATTTATTATTTTATAAAAAAATGCTTTTTGTAAATTATATAAGTTATAGCTTATGTTGAATATAATATTTAATATTTTCCTTTTCTTAACTTTTTATATATGATTTTTTTTTAATATTGTCATGTTTTATACGTTATAAAAGTTATAAAATAAACATCAAAAATAAATGCCTTTTCGAGAAAAATTTCCCAAAAAATAATTTTTTATAAAATAATGAATAACGATTTTTCAACATTTATTTCATATAGAAAAACTGCTCATTTTACTCTCCTACTTTTCTAGACTCAAATTTTTAAATAAAAGTTTTCAAAAATTAAAATTATGAAAATATGGAAGCCCAATGCGATTTGATGATTATTTGGCCACAAGCCAAAAGATGTAAATTATTTTTTCATAACACCGCTATATTTTTTTGAATGAAAAAATCCCTCGCTTTATTAACTGTACATCTTGCACACTAAACGGTAGTTTATTAGCCAATTCGTTTAGCGAAAAAAATTGCTGGCGTAACGAAACTTAAACTAAAAATTGGCATTTAACAATTTCCCGCAAAGATGTCTCTTCAATCATATTTTTGCCATTTAATTTTCACGCTTTTTGTTAAAAGTCTAGAATGCGTTCTTTATGATTTGTACGCTAACGATTGGCTTAAGCAAAGTACAAAAAAAATGTAATAGTAAATAAAACGATGGCTTTGCTCTCGCATGCAAAAAGTTTGGCAATACACAGCGCTTACGGTCAGCAAAAACGAATACCAAAATTTTTGTAGGACACACGCGCTCAGATACTTTATTGTTTTATTATTTAAAAATCGTTTTGTTTTCTACTCGCACATAGAACACTTCCTTAGAGTCGAATGCTTGGTGCTAGTAGTTATATGTAGTATTTTTTCGATACATTTTTTCTTTACCAATTTTCTTGTTTTCTATTTCTTCACGCTTTAAAATTTTCGCTTTCCTTATTGAGCTTTAAACACGGCTTTAACCACCGCACGCTAAATTGTGACTGATCGCTGTAAGAAATGTTTCATTAAAACTCAAATCGGCGAACTGAAGTCGCAGACGCGCAAGCAGCTAGCAAGAGGAAGAAGTAGCAGAAGTAGAAGCAAAAACAACAACCACAATGGCAAATACACCTTAGCCAGCCATAGCACCAGCAAAGCAGAATAAATAACAAACGAAAACAGCGCTGCAAAAAGTAAGCAATGAATATAAAGGAAAAATAAAACTAAAATTGTGAGAAAATAAATAAATGCAAAATACACACATACATAACGACGGGCGAAAAGCTTCAAGAAGTAGGGGTATTTCCAAAAAAAAAAAAAAATAGCACTATGTGGTTAAGCTTCGCAAATACAGGTGATGTCGAAGTGGCAGCGGTGCGCTGTGCTTTCCAGCTGGTCATCGAAATCGAAGTCAACTTGGCGGCATTGGCGAAACTGAAATCGAAACCAGCCTGGCAGCTGTTGGCCAGTGTAACGATGGTTTTCAATTTAACATTCTTGATCGCAAACGGGTTAAAAACGAAGTCGCATCGAGCGCTTAAGCAATGACTAGCAGCTGTGCTATGGAGAATGAGCACAATGACGTTAAAAACGCAGGGTTAACAGCAACTGTTGGGATAACAGATTTGGGGCGGTTTAATGAGTGGGTATAACAGCGGTGGGTGCCTCAACAACAGTGCTTTTATAATAGCAGCAGCTCCCACTGCAGTGCACTGCGAGTGGGTGTATTAACAGAGATCGTCTGGTTCACAATTCTTGTGTTTGATTTGTTTAAAATTTTTAGGGTTGAAGCATAAACATAAATAATTAATAAATATGGAATTTGAGCTTGATTAATATCTATGTACATTTTTAAAAACTTTACAGCACGAAAACAAAAACAAATCGATTTAATAGTTTTCCAAATATCTCGAGAAGGGGGCGAGGAAAGAAATTAAAAAAAAAAATCACACATACACACATCGAAATTCTCTAGAAAATAATTATTAAAATTTTTTTCTTGAAAAATATTTCACATACACATTTTTTGGTAAAAAAATAGTTTTTGCAAATATGCCATCTCAAAAGAAAAAAATGTAAATAATCATATTGGTAGCTCTGAGTATTGCGCAATATTTAAATATAGTCCAATGCTGATTTCGTTTCTACAAAAAAATGTCGCCTATCTCTTTTTTTGCCCCTATCTCTTTTTGTGTTCGATTCAAAAATAAAGGCAAAAGGTGAAAAGTTTGTGTTCGTTTCTTAAAATATCCCAAAAAGGACCCATTCTCTGCCCTTTGCAGCATTGTCAGGGGAGATGGTTGCCCTGAAAATCAGATGGTTGCTTAAAATGACAATATTATAAAATGCGTGATCTAGACAAGGACAAGAATATCAAAACATGCCCATTTACAGGGTTGAGTGTAACATCAAACATATTTTGCACTGGAAGACGAAACGTAGCACTTCTCACTAGAATCTTAGCGAGACACTGGACCATCAGCCAAATGGCGGCCGGGTTGAGAGCTCTGTATAACGAGTTCTGTGGAAGCTGTAGAGATGAGGAAAGGAGATGGAATCCATTCAGCACTTGTTATGTAAGCGCCTCGTAGTCTGGAGAAAGCACTAAATTTTCTCGGTACTACTTCTTCAACAGCTAACACCAAGCGCCTAAATGCATGCTATGCTTCATAAGATTTATGACATTTTTGAACCTGCACTTCTCAACGGCCATGTAAGAAAACTTTCTTCAGTATGCTCGCCCTAGTCTGATACATACTGCGGAAAATGCTTCCGGAGTTTTCTGCGGACTCTACGTGGCTTACAACCATGCAGAGGTGGTAACAGATGGTTACCATTGCCCACAGTGCCTACCCGCAACTAGTGTTCGTCGGATACCACCTTGTACTCGATGCCTGTGAGAATACTCGATGCTACTCAAAGTATCGCTGGGGAATACTCGATTTTACTTGTACTCGAAAGTACTCATACGAGACATTTTAGTTCCATGACCGTTTACAATACAACAACAGTAAGGAAAGCCGATTTTTTTTTATGGAAAATTATAGTTCGTGCCTTAGGAATCAGTCGTTCTCATATACCCGGCGGTCCAAGCTTATGAAGCGCTGAAAAATGCCTATTCATATCCTCCTATTTTAAAATGGGGTTACTTGAAAGTGCTGAAACAAACGAATTCTACGGATGCTTACTCCAATTCGATACGACTTTTGTTCTCCCCTTTTGTGCGGTCTTTTAGTTTTAACCCTCGCAATTTCTAGGGATTTACATCTTGAATAGTTTTTTTTT